TCATTTTTCATATTAAGAAATTAAACATAAAGACGGTAAAGTTTTATTCTAATAATACCGGAAAAACCATATCATATATTAACATCAATTGTTTAAAAACGTCTGACAGGAGAACTTTATAAAAGATTTTATTTCGAACACATCAACTAAGTGTTCGAAAAAGTTGATAGGAAGACCTTAAACCAAAATTACTGACAGCTTATAATTTCAATTACGAAGAGTTGAAATTCATATCTAGAATAAACTTATATAACACCTTCCTTTAAAAGATATTATAAAAATAATACTAAATGGAAATGAATTGATTTTATTTAAATGAAATAAAGAGGTTTTTTCGAACAGTAGTGAACTACAACTTATCAGCTTACAGACCCGAACAATTAAACGCATTTATTTAAAAATGTTGGCAAATATATCGTTCTTTATTTAAGAACTTCAACAGTGCTTATTTTTTATAAAATGCAGTAATTTTTTATTTCACAATTGTCATTTGTAATAAAAATTGAATTAACAAATTAAAATAAAAAATTAAAGCAATTAAAATTCACACTTTAGAACTTAATACACAGTTTTTTTTTTGATATAAAAAATTTTTATGAACATTTTAGCAACTCTAACGGAGCAATTTGTTGTTTTTTACCACACTTAAAAGTTTGCGAAAACATATTCATATTCATACATCAGCTTAGTAAATTCAATAAAATTTAATATAATTTTGCCAAACAGCCAGCGGTTTAGACAGACGACAAACAATCAAAACTGTAACTCTGAAGATTTTCAGAGCATTGTTGTTGCTTCACATGTTTTGTTTCGTAAGTTGAGAGTATTTTTCTGCTACTCTGAAAGAAAAAATTACTGCTCTTATTATTTATTATTTAATATATACATATATTGAATAGTTGTAATAATTTTGAAGTGAAGCGGCCAAACATTTTTGTCACTAAAGAAAAAAGTGTTACCAACGCAATAAGCGAACTATTATAAACCTTCAGTGGAAATTTGAACGAATATTTCAATTATATGTCAAAAGTTTGTAAGACGAACGCGCAAACAAAATTAAAATATTTCACAAATTTAATCATTTTGGAAATGAAATATTTTAAAAATTCGTTAAATTGTGGAAAATAAATATTTTAAAAATATATACATATAAATATTCAAAAATTTATAAGAGTACTTGAAAAAAGAGTTGCATAAATATTCTAAACTATTTTTAATTTTGTTGTGAAACAAAATTTTAAAATCTCCTGCATTTTTAAACTTACATTTAAATCATTATTCAATTTAATTTTTAATTTTATGTTATTTATTTATTTTTCTACAAAATGTGATTTGCTTCCATTATGTGCATATATATAAATATGTGCATATAAAAGGTTCACTATTTGCCAATACATAATATTTGATACATTACAACAGTGATGCTAATGTCTCGCTTAGCGCCTACAGACCAGCAATTTACTGTTTTTTGATACTTTTGAGAGCAGCCGAAAGGACTTCATAATAAATTTTTGAACAGTATTTTAATTTTAAATGATGGCAACTCTAAATGAGTCTGCTTTCAAACTGACAGTTGAGGCGAATGTAACTGACAGCTTCATTCGGATAGCGTTTGTTAAAAGTAAACGTAGTATTTGTGTAAAAAATATTTGTGAAATCCAATAAATATTAGTAAAGCTCAGAAAATGGATGAAGTGATTGAAGTTATAGATTCAGATGACGAAGAATCATTGCCTAGTACTACGGCACCACCACATTTAGTACAGATAAAAACTGATGAAGATAATAATTTACCGAATACTGCTTTAAATGCTGGTAGCTTGACTAAATTAGTTATCAATCCCAAAATTAATCCTGGAAATGCTTCACTACAATATTGGGACTGTACTAAATTAATAACACAAAGAAAAAATGTGGGAGAAACTGCTGATACGGCGCAAAAAGTCTTAACGCTGCAAACTTCACAAGTGAGAACTGTGCACAATACAATTATTCGAAAGTTGGTCCCAAATCAACGTGCGAACTTATTGCTGCCCACTGGACAAGCTGTTGACACTGGTCCAACAGCTAATGCAACTACCAGCGGAAATTCGTCTGCGGATGCTGTGCTTGGTGGTCAGAATACCAATTTACCAACTGTTCGTAAATTAAATTTACCAGCTGCAACGGTTGGTGGCTCTGTTCGTTTTGTTAATGCTTCTAACAGAGCTACCGCTGTGGGTAGCGTTCAAATGCCTTACATTACTTTCCGCGCGAATATAAATTCAACATCACAGGTTGCAAATCCACGAATCGTAAGCACTGTTGCTTCTCTTCGTGGAAATAAATTTGTTCCTAGCACATACAGTACTAACATGGATAACACAACGAATGCAATTATACGACACAGATATCCAATTAAATATTTACCACAAACAATTTCACGTAGAGCAGTTGAAATTAAGAGTGAGCGACCACCTGTAGCAGCATATGGTTCACCTGCACAGCCGACACGGCCTCCTATTTATCGTAACATAATAGCGCCAGTACGTAATCCGAAACTTGTTGCTTTGCCTGCAACACCGACTGGAATAGCTTCACAGAATCAGATAGGCACGCCTCGCCTTTTAGGGGCTTTAATGAATTTGCCTGATTCAGCAATTAGATCCAAACCGTTTACTGTCGGAAATAAAACTTTAAGTTTTAATATGGCTGGTAATAATTACACTATTAAAGTGAATAAAACATCTTCACAGGATGTTATAAAAAACAATGTGCATATGTTTACGGGTAGTACGGCACAATATGCACCTACAACCACGTCTACTGATACAAGCACAACATCAGGCTCTTCAGTTACAACTGCACCAGTTGCAGAACTAACACTAGAACCTCCGCCATTAACAATTTTAAAAACAAATGTTAACACAACATCACAGCATAGCTTATTAAAAAATCAAGTTACACCAAACCCACAAAGTGCTGATTTACCTTCAATATCGTCAGCATCAACAACTGTTAAGATTGAAACGTCGCCACAGCAACAAAATATAAAACGTTCACGTAAAAGTGCTTTAGGTCCATCTCTGGCATGTGATGATTTTGAAATTTTAACTTTATCTCCAGAAAGTCCAAAAACCAGAAAAAAACTAAGAAAATCTTCACCAAATAGTAGATCCCTGCTAAAGTCACATAATGCAGCTGCATCAAATGAAACTTATGAATATAGTCACAAAGAGCTAAGCAACTTGAATGTCGTATTCAGAAATTTCATATTTAAACCAGAAATTCAACATCAAATGCGCATTATTGCCGAGGAACGAGCACGTATAAACTACATGTTGTCATCGTGTCGTTTGCCGCAAATTCAATTCAAAAATTTTTCAACTGAGGAGGGACTTCGACATGATTTGCAAAAAAGTTTGAAAACACAAAATATAGAACTCTTCCCTCTAGCTGTCGTAGACGATAATATGGATACTGGTATTAGCTTTTAATTGGCTATTAACTATTAAAGTTTTACATGTAAGTACATTTGTTATACACTTAACTTAATATATTATTCACATATATATTTTTTTAATTTTTCAGTTTCGCATAAATTTACTGAATTTTCTTTTTTTACTTTAATTTAATTATTTTTTTTTTGTTGACCAAATATTATATAATAATTTGTTTTAACGGACTAATTGGTAAATTTAAATACAAAAGATTACTGCATCAAATGTGGAAAAGTGGATATATCGAAGTAATATTTTATTAAAATATAACTTGTTTAAATATAAATAATAATTATTGTTTTTATTTTGTATTTAAATTGTCCAATTAGCCCGCTTAAAAAAAATTTTATTTTAATTTAATTATTTTGATATAAGTTTGTTAATGTTGTTATTAAAAAATTCATAACCTTAAATTCATAACCAGATTTTTAATTGTTAAGTTAAACCGACCAGTTACGAAACATGTCGGTGTTTTCCAATATATGCAATGAGTTATTTAATTTTGTTTAATCATATCAGTAATGATCTGAATATAGTCTTAAGTTTTTGAACTTTTATTACTATTAACTATTATTTTTAAAGTTAATTTAAAAAAAAAAACTTTTTAAGTTTATTACAAGTTATTATTTTTTATAAAAATAATTTTTTTATACTTATTTGGAGGTTTCACAATTGTTTTTAAAATTCACGAGAAATAAATGCAGTTAATTGCAAATATCACAGCTCTCTCCTTTTTAAAATTATTAAAAATATATGTATATACAAATATATGTATATGTATATACAAATATATGTATATGTATATACAAAGACATTTTTAATATTATATATTTTATTTTATAATTTTGAAATTTTTTGTTTATACCATTTTTTCTGAATTAAGAAAAAATTTAGAGATTTATTTTTTTTTCATTTATAAACATTTTTTTTTTTCTAAATTTGCACATAGAAGGAAGTGTGCTGCTTCCTTCTCTAATATTTATTCAAAATATATATCTTTATTTTAAATTTTTTGAAATATTTTATTTTTCACTTTATATTTAATATTATATTCAGACTTGTTATTAATTAATTAATTATTTTTTTTTGGTTAAGATTATGTAAAAAATGTTAAATATCTTTATTCTTTGTTTTTTATCATTAAAAGTATATTTTATATATACTATATATTATATATACCATATAAAATACATTGCAATGATGTTTAAAATTTAAAAAAAAATATTAAAATAAATATTTATTTTTAAATTTCTTAATTTTTTACACTATATAAGAAATTTAAAATAAATCAATACTTATATTGAATTTTTCATTTTTAACATAGATAATATATATTTCTTTTTATATCGTTTTAAATATATACATATAAAAAAAGATTTTTTAAAACTTAAACAAAAAAATGTATACATAGTGTAAACATTAATTTTTTTATATTCCTTTTTTATTTTTAAATTTATAGTATGTGAATGCTTTTAATAAAAACTTCATATGTATTTTTAATTAAGTTTCAACAAGTTTTAAAGGAAGAAAATAAAATACCTTCTAAAGTTATATTTTTGAATTGTTCTAGTATATTTCTATTTGTAATAAAGTTTTAAATAGTATATAATGAAAATTTTTAATACTTAGTTACTAAATAACACATTTCAATTTAATAAATTTCTGTTTTTGCTTAATGCATTTACAAAAACATTAAAAACTTATTCACCTCTATCCTGAATACTTCCAAGGAATAAGTTTCCCTCGTCCCTCGCTATAATTATAAAAAATTATAATTAATATATATAATAATTATAATAATATATAGTAATTATACTTAATATGTAATAAATATAATTAATAGATAATTATTTTTAATATGTAATAATTATATTTAATAAATAATTATTATTAATATGTAATAATTATAAGTAATTTATAATAATTATAATAAACATATAACAATGATCATTAATATGTAATTACAATTATTAATATATTATTATAACTTATTAATGTATTATTATAATTTATTAATATGTAATTATTATTAATATGTATTTGTAATTATTAATAGTACAAAGTTATTATTAATTTATTATTTTTATATTTATTATAAATGTGTTCTGCTTTTGTATGTAACAAAAATATCAAAGAAAGTTCATTATTTTTAAATTATAGAATAATCTATAAATGTATATATTAATTATATAATTGATTTCAACAGGTTTTTTTTATAACACAATAGATAATTTTCTTACTGCTTATTATTTAATAACATTTCACATCTATTAATTTAATAATCATTGTAAATAGCTTTTCGTATTTAAATATTACAATTATTTACAATTTTCTAAAATCTCATTGTTTTTAAAACAGTTTAACTAATTAAGTTTGTAATAAAAATTGTCACCTTTTCTAAAATGGAAAAGTACCATATATTATATCGTTATTACCATTTAATTGCCTTTTATATATATATATAATATATATATTTAAAGTTTATAATCAAAAATACAGTTTAAACTGTTGAATTAATTTCTTGTCTTTGATACCCAAAGAGATTATCATATAATATATAAATTTATTGACTGTAATTTAAATTTTTCAATAATTTTATATAAATACTTCAGTATATAATGCTTTTATATGCTAAATATTAAACACATAAAAAGCTTGAATTTTTATTATTTGCGATTGAATGTAAATAATAAACAAAATTTAGAAATAACTAAATTAAATAACTAAATAATTAAAACTAATGAATGAGAAAAATAAAAAATTAAAGTAAGTTTTTAAATTAATTTACTTATTCAAACCGCCTTTTCCATTAATAATATACAATACGTGATTGAATTTTTTAAACAATTTAAAAATATTTTATATAAAATAATTTGCAGTTTTTTAAATAAAAGCATAATTCATAAATACTTTTAAATAAAGTAAATGAGATGCTTACTTAATTTTTATATAAAATTATGTTTAATTGCGTGAATCATTTTTCATAATTTTTCATAATTTTTCATAATTTTTCATAATTGTAATTAAACACATTCTACCATTCATTTTATTATATATAAAATATTTATCATGTGTATATAATATATAATGTTATTATATTATTATTTATATTTTATTATTATTATGTTATCTTATACTATTAATATATTATTCATATTTTCCAGTATAGAAAAGTATTAATTTGTTTATTAATTAATTTTTATTTTAAAATTATGTATATACAATAAAATAGTGATTTAAGAAAAGCTTAAAACTCTAATAATATATGTATTTGTAAAATATTATTATATGATTTGACAAATATATTGCATTATAATTATTATTATGTAATTCCAAATAAACTCAAAATTTAAGAGGAAAAAGTTGTGATTGATAAATAATAATATAATATTATATAATAATATATAATATAATATATAATAATATAATATATAATAATATAATGTATATAATATATAATAATATAATATATATAATATATAATATATATAATAATAATAAGAATAATAATATTATAAATATTAATAAAAAAATTTTATTTGTTATTTAAATATTTAAATAAAATAATTGTGAAAAAAATATATTTTGTAAAAGACTAATATAAAATTGAAAGAATATTAACTATTAGTATTAATATTATAAATGACATATGTCATATTTTCCAATACAAAAACATATTTAATAAATCATCACTTTTATATTGTATAGAAGAAAACACTCTTTGTAAAAAAAAAATTGATAAACGATACTCCTATATTTTTAAATTGTCCTTAATTACATACATATACGAGTAAATATTTAAAATATGAAACATTCAAGCTGCTATATAATTTAAAATCAAAATAGAATTTTTTTTTAAAAATTAAATAATAAGAAATGTTTATTAAAACAAAAAAGAGACTATCCGTATAATTATATAAATATTTTTATTTATTTTATATTATATATTATTTATATTTATATTATTATTTTATATTATATTGTATTATATTTTATATACTATATAATGTATACTTAAATGAATACAATTATATTTTTAGTTTTTAAGCACAAACATTGTTAACAAATCTTAATAAATACATATATTAATAAAATTAATGTTTATTAATTGTGTTGTATGTATGTTAGTATGCATGAGATGAAAACGAAAGGCTGATATACTCTTACGGGACTTGTGTTATTTGCTCATCGTAATGACGTGCAGTTAAGGTATTTACATAATTTTCTTTATTGGTTGTTGAAGTCCGGGCATTTCGTGGAAACACCTGCTTAGTTTACCTTCGTTGCGAAAGGTACTAATCCATTTTCGATGATTTATTTCTAAGAACTGAGAAAACTGGCTCTACATAATTTTTTTTATTTCTTGAACTGAAGATATCACTTTATGGACAGCACTTCAAGATGATTTAATGGATCATTGGGCACTTATGAGAAGGACTGACAGTTATATAAAAAGCGGTATCCATGAAAAAAATTTGATTTCAGACCAAACTTAGTCATACCCACATGCGTTTGTATATTGTCTATAATGCTCAAATAAAGACGAAATAAATATTCAGGAATGATCAATCATTTGAGTAATGAGTATGTTATTCCAGTACTTTTTGAGTGTGTGTATACATATATATAAACAAAAATATACGTAGATTTCGTTCTTTTTTATAGATACTCGCAAAAATATGTTTAAGATTTAATACGTTTAAATAATATCAAAATTAGGACATATGGTGAAAACAAAGATTTCTCACACTCATTCGTCAAGAACTTCACGTCTAATATTTTCCTACATTAAAAAGTAAATCGCAAAAAAGAGCTGTAGAAGAGGGATCAGGGCATCAAGATCCTTGATCGTTCCATTCAAACCACATTTTAAATATATTAAAATGTTCTTTGTAAATCCTGTGAGCTGTCCATCTCCATAATAATTGATCTCGAATTCTATTGGATTGCATGCGGTGATATTAAGTAAATCATTGCTGAAGAGTTTTGCAAGTTATCAGGACTCCTTATCATAACGGAAATGTGGTGCAAATTAATCATATTGAAAATCGTTTGATTCTAGAGAAACAATCTTCGATAACATGTATTGTATTATTTAAAGATTAAAAACTATTTAAGGTAATATACATTGCATCTTAATAAAGTGTCATGTTGTATAAATATTGTAACTAACTAAATTATAAGAAATAAGACATACTGTTTCAAAACTGAAATAAATTGGATAAGACCGATAATATGGTCTTGACCTAATTAAATAATGACCGACAGCATGTCACCAAATTTTATTATCGTTGTAACCATAAAAACTCATAACTCATAAAAAAGTGTCCCTTATAGTTTATATAGATGGCGTCTCAACCTATGTAAGTTAACTACAAAACCCTTTTGTAATCTTAACTTCCATTGTTGTGCCCTACTTCAGACGTATTTGGTTTATAATAAATGCAAAGGGAGTAGATCCGTTTTCTACTAAAACAGCTATCACTCATTGATCTGCAATCGACCATACTTAACAAAGAACCATGGCCCATGGAGAGATCAAAAATCTTTTTGTATTAATAGATGAAAAGCTTAGAAGCTAACAAAATTCTTTAACTTAAAGTATTACTAACAATGCTTATGGATGTACGAAGAAGTGTAATAATAGTAATGGTATGTGTCGAAGATAACTATTTTTAGTTTTTTTTAAGTCTGTAGATGAAATGTGAAACACAAATCGATATCAACAACAATGCGTAGCAGTTTACAGCTACGGTCGAAATTTCTACGGTGACAGAGAAGAACGATAGAGAACGCAATCAATACAGTACTGATATCATGTTGGTTTACAATAACCATCTAATATACACAGTAATTCAATATACGAGCATATATCTGGTCTCATTATTAAGATTTAAATTGCAGCAGCCAAAGAACCGAACCAGAATGTTTTTCATTTGTTTTTTGCAGAATATTGAGACAGTAGTTTTCTTCAGAGGCCTAAAGATTGTGATTATCAAAAAGAAACGGAATTCGCAGGTAAGATTAGGTCATTCCGGTGATCTTGAGGAGCCACTTAAGTCTATTGTCTTATTGTGTTACCATTAAAATGATTTAAACTCTAATTGTTAGCTTAGCAAAAAGCACTAGAATCATTAAAAAAGAAATTATTGAAAAGTAAGAACTGTAATTTAACTAAGGTAGTACAGATACCTATGCACAGATATAAAGAATTTTATATACACACATATTGTGAATGAAATCGGAATGGGAGTTTTCTTATTTTTCTCATTCCTCATATTCTGAATTAAATGGAAATTGAAGTTTTTTTTCTCATCCCATTTGCTATATTCGGAACAAATTTCAAACCAAAAACAAGGGAATATTTGGTACTAAAGTTTTCCTAAGCAAGTTATGTGGGAGTGTTCAAATTTGAACATGAAGTTGCTCGACCTCCACTTCAAAATACCCAAATACGGTTATTTATATATTATATATACATATATATATATTAAGAGTTTTTGATTTGATTATTTTAAATTAATTTACTCTTAATTTTTAATAAGTATTGTCTTTCTGATAACAATTTTAATGATCATGGTTCTTCCCGATCTTCACATATTATTATTTGTATTATAGTATATATTATTTTCCTTAGAGCAAGAACTCGAACGTGTGTTCAATCAATGTATCTTACAACATCAGAAATGTTAATGACTTCGCAAAGCACTTTAATGAAGTTAGAGTGAGCTAGAGTAACATCGTAGTCTTTTCCAATCCCTATTTAATAAACTCCTACAGCAAAGAAACACAAGTGCCCGCTCAGTTTTACAAGTGGAGAAACTGCAAATTACTTCTTTGTTGTGTGAATTATCTTAAAAAGTTCCTCTAAGCGGCACTTAAATGTTAATTTATTAACTCCATGATATTTTTGAAAACTATTTTTCTATCTAAAAAATGTTTATCTTAAAACCAAATCAAATTTACATTTGAATTTTCAAGGAATCAGGCTACTCAAGTGGACTTGCAGTGCCCATAGATTTCTTCGATTAATCTTTTGTTACATTCCTTGCTCCTGTTCTTATACTAACATTTCCGCTAAAATTTGAAATGCAATTAAATGTATCTTTAAAATTAAAATTTTTAAATTTAAAATATTAAATGATACGTATTTCTCTTCAATTGTATGTTTTCTTTCTTTTTTTTCGCCAAGAATGCTATCAAAAACTATAAATGCTGCCAAAATTCAAAAATAAAAATTTGGATTTTTAGTTGGCCCTAGCTATTAAGAGAGCACCTGTCTTCCAAGCAATTCAGAATAGGGAACTTCTAATCCAATAACAAATATAACTAACTATTTAACTAGTTAATGAAAATACAAATACCCAAATGATATACGCTTTAGAACCCAATTTATTAAAGTAAATATAATTATTTTCGTGTTCATTCACTGCTCTTATGTGAATATAGAACTTTAAACATAATGAGAATTACATTTTTTATTTAAGTATTAAAATAAAAACATATTGATACATGTGAAGTAAAAAAGTAGACATTAAGATTTCAGAGGAAAGAAATATAATTTCTATTTTATTTTTTAATTAATTAAATTAATTAATTAAATTTGTGGTGTATTTCGATTTTATCTTCGTTGTACTTTATTTTATTTAAATTAAAGTGCATCAAATCTTCTAACGAGGTTTCGAAATAGATTAATATATAACAATTTTATATATGCTGACTTTTCTTTAAACTATATTATAGATGAATGATGGGCTAATTAGTCAGATGTTTTGATTTAGTTTGTTAATAAAAAATTTTTTTATGGTTTTATATATTTAATCTATATTTCCGACGTTTCAGTTGTTTAAGACCATTATCAGGGAAAATTTTTTAAAATAGAATAACATATAATAGAATAGAATACTATAGAATAAAATTTAAATAGAATAAAATTTGTATACGAAAAAATTTTTTGACAATTGATTTAAATAATTAAAACGAAAAATATACAATCAGTTTTTCTGTAGAATAACTTTTCTAGCAATGCACAATAGACAAAAGAAATATTTTCTATATCTCGCCGCAAATTGTATGTTGGTCTATTCATAATATATAAGGACTCCAGGATAAGGCGTCGAGACAAGAAAGGTTCAGTATTAATGACCTTTACTGAAGCAAAATCTGGGTAATGATTTTTGTCAATAAAGTGTAAGACTAAAGCTAACTATTATTATTAGTTCCAGTGCAGGGAATTTCATAGATACAGTTAATAATGTTATTCGTTCTAATCACTAACTCCATTGGAATACTTGGAAAAAGTGAAATCACATCAAAAGAAGCGAGAACTTCGTTATTTTCAGCAATAATGTTAGTAATTTTTTCTCAAGCTTTTAAACTATTTTTGATGTCATATTTCTTATGTACAATTTTGCCCAATATGGTGTTCAAATAGATTGCGAGCTGAGATGAAGGACTGTCAACCGTTGACACAATTGTACGTAGTGGACGGTTAGATTTTTGCACTTTCGGGGATGCATAAATTCTGGGAAGAGACGCATTGTGTCTAGTCATATGTCGATACTGGCAATTGTTTTTAAAAAAATTTCCCTGATGGTGGTCTTAAACAACCGAAATGTCGGAAATATATATTAAATAAACAAAACCATAAAAAATTTTTTTATTAAAAAATCTATTCAAAAATCTGACTAATTAGCCCATCACTCATCTATAATATAGATTAATATAACAATACTTTCTAAAAATCATACACGATAATGCAAGAATATGGGACTATTCGAAGATTGACGATGTTATATATGCAGACTGCTGGCTGCATTGATTAAATCGTCTTCTCAATTCTAAGTAAAGTGGTAAAACATTTTAAACCTAAATTTGGCTAAACTGTACAACAGGCGTTATAAAAACGGGTTTTAATCTGCCAAATTACTCAAATGTGTTCAGGAATATATTGATTTAAATAACTTGAGTCATGGTGAGGGTAGATTCTTTTTACTGCTATTGTTAACATCTATTTGGAAACTTCATTCATTTTTGAGAAAATTGTTTGGTTTGCGATTTAGGGCTGCAGTAGTAGACTAACTGGCCAACCGAGTGATTGATGATTGTTATGGTTGAAGAATAGCTCCAGAAATTTGAATCGACCATTGATTTTTATCCTTGTGAAGAAATTTTCGAAAGTAATTATTTTAAGGTTGTTTGACTATAATTATAGTATAGGATATATAATTAATGTTAATTTATTTAAGTAAAAAAAAAATTTTTTTTAGTTTAGCATTTAAGGAAGGTTTTATTTCTGTTTTGTATATTTATTTTTTTTTTTTGTAAATTCTTCATATTTTTTATTTTTTATATTTTCTATTGTTGTTTTTCTATTTTTTTGCTTAATAAATAAAATATTGCTTAATTATTGGGAATTTGAATATTGGAATTTTTTTTTATAAATCTAAAATTTTTTCTAAAAGCGTTCTTTTATGATATGTATAAAATTAAACTAAATTTAATTTTTATTATTATTATTATATCTTTTTGTATAAGAATACAGTAAAAAAAACTGTTAAAATATCACACTATTACACAACAAACTGCAGTATTGATAATTTTTTAGAAAAAATTATAGACATTTAAATTGAGCAAGTAAAAATAGCCCTAAATTGAACTTAAGTACTTATAAGGGATACAAAAGAATAAAAACAAAATAAAAAAAAAATATAATTAAAACTAATTATAATAAATTAAAATAAAAGTTTTTAATAAATTAGATTAAATGTTAGAATTAAAAATGGCAGCATAATGGCTCAAAAAAACACGAATACGTAAACGTCAAACACTAAATGTCCTTTTTAGAATCCACGCAATTGAAGCAGTTCAAAAATGACATGAACTTTTTACCCAAGCCACATTTCACACAGTATTTTGTGTATTCCAAGTGTTTAAAGTGCAGTGATCTAAGTCTGCGTTACGCGTAAGTCTGCGCGAGAGTGTGTATATGCATTTGTTATAATGTAAACGTGTTGGAAAATCCAAAAGCTATCTGCAGCCGCAAGATTCGATTACCATATTCGGAAATGTTTTCATGGTGGCGGTATTATTACTATCCATAAACACCAGCTGCAGTGATGAGTACTGTTTCGCTGTACAACACGGTATTAGTTCTAACGGCTTTTGACCTTGACTACGTCTCTTTGATAGCACTTTCTGTAATAATAAATTGATAAAATAGATCTATTAGAAAAACTGTTTTTAATTGAATCTTTGTGCATGAATATCTTTACCTGTATAAATGTGCTATGATGTGAAGAGGCTTGTGCAACGCTCGCAACAGAGCTGCAGGATCCGCGACAGAAATACGCATCATAACCACGTGGTTGTATTATCCAATCTCCCCAACCGATCTCATCAAACGATATATATAAACGTTCTCGGCAACATTCCGTAACACCATCCGTACAGTTGATACCACGTTTTTGTCGTGAGGGTCGTCGACGATTTTGCGTGTCTATCATTATAAATGGTCGATAACCTTTATCAATTGATATCATTTCCTCCATGAATCGAATATCACAGGACTGACAAGAGACTTGTATAAGATGGCTTAACTCATGATTACCAAACCAACGTTTAATTGGCCAATCAATATTAATTTTAAGCCATTCATCTGTAAAAAAAAGAAAAAGTATATAAAAGTGATGTTTTGTATTTTATTATAGTTATATATACTATAAAATCTTTTGTATATACTATATATATATGCAGTTGAAAAGATTACTAAAAACATGTTAATGTATCTGGACTTAAAGTTCTAATTCAATATTTTTCTCAAAGAACTTCTGCACTGTTTTCAAGCAGCTCATCATATAGCCTAATGAGGCTATAAATCCTAAATTCCATTATCATAAGTAAAGGTTGTGGACTACAAATTTTTAAGACTAACATTACACACAAATGTTTTCAGTTACTTCTAAGTCTACATAGATTCAAAATTAATTCTGCGACTAGTCTCTTGAAACACCTGTGTTAATTAACTATAACTTTTTAATGATGGGATAAAACTTGGACAAAGAACAAGTTTTGGAAATACGCTATAGGATATCGAGATCAGTGTATATAACTTTTGTTACAACGCTGTCTAGCTTTTCGAATTTTAGGTAATTATTGCGATGCCGTCTATTTTAACTATAAGTGTCGCTTTGATATTGGTGTCTAGATATATTCTCTTTATATGTCTCTAGTGAATTGTAGGTAGCATTACATATAGTTAAGGAGAGCTTAAATAACATAGATAATATAACTATAGTGCAAAAATTTGTAATATGGTACATATTAATCAAAGAAAACCCTCCCATAATGTTTTTAATTATTTAAAAAAATTTTAAAGGAAATTTTATGATACGTATTCATAAATTGGTTTAACCCATTGGCAGTTTCAAAGTTATAAAAAATTTAAGGGCATGAGAGAATGTACTGTAACGTATATGGAATATGTACCTCTACATATAAATTTATACAACAATATAAATTATATATTTTTAATATATATTATTTTCAATATATAATCATATATTGTTACACATATATTATTAATATTATTATATATTATTATTTATTATATATATTTGTAAAACAATTTCAATTTAAAAAGGTAATAAAAATCAAATTTATAAAATTTTGATTAGGCTTTTAATATAAGAAAAATTTTCCGAACAATTATATACATAGATTTGTTACTTTGAGCCTATTTACTATGACTCCATAATATAAGAATACACGTCTCTTGAAAGTGAACCTTAAATGTGTCACCATACATGGTCAAGCCAATATTTTATTTAATTTTTTTGATTAAATAAAAATATTTTAATTAAAAAATAAGTATAATAATATATAAACTTTTCATATATTGACACGAATGTAGTATATATATGTAAGGGAGATTGAAGATTCTTGTCAACAACTCAGCAACAGTTTGTGACGATATTTCAAAGTTCCGTAGAAAAAAAATATTTTAATTTGATATGTACGTGAATTTATATGTATAAATATATATATATATATACATATGTATTTATTCATATTAAGTACATATACAATAAATATAAAAATAATGTATATGTACATATATTCGCACACACGTTTTTAATTTTATTTTTTTGTACTGATAATATTATTTTGTGACAATTAATCTTCTCTAATAGGAGAAAGTCCACATACACATATAGTGACACCATCCGGGAACTCTTGCGAATTAATCATTATTTGCAAACATTCACTTTGACACATAATTATTATTCTTATGTTTCATTTCATTTGATTATTAAAATTATAAGCAAATCTTCTTTTTAAAAAATATTATATTTTACATAGCAGTGGTGCCAATCCTTTGGGGAATTAGCTTATGTTCATCCGAGATTTTTAATAGGGGCTCCTGGCTGCATTCACTTTAATTATTGAATTATATATCCTAGATGAACTGGCATTCGTATAAAAATATTCGGTCATGAGAACTTATTAGTAGGGACTGAGTCAAAACTACTAATCCTATTAGTTAGTGCAGTCCGAGTAAATCAATCTGTCGTCATACCTGCATTTTAACTAATATGACTTAAAAATTCCAATGCCCTTCTAGCAGTTCGAAGAGGTATTTTATGATTTCTGTTTAACAATAAGTACAACCACTGTTCTGTAGCATTATTAAGCGATTAAGCGATCTAAAGCAGCTATCACTAGAGTGTGACAGTCATTGCCATATTTTAATTTATCTACCTATTTATCTATGTCAAATCCATCTAGGTTAGACGGATCATTAGAAAATCTTTCAAAACAATATTAAAAAATGGGCTACATGATTATTATTGAAAGATCAGTAATATACGGAGTATAATACAGTTTAATTAATTTCGATTTTTATTAAAAAAAAAATGATTTATTCTTACCTTGAATGTTCACCGATTTAATCGCTACAGTCTTCACAATTGGTAAGTATTTCGAGTCCAATTGTTGTTGCACTTCTGAAACAACTATTGTTTGCTGATTTAGTAAAGTGGCATTTCGTTCTTTCTGTTTATTTTTGAATATCCACAGAACCGCGGTATTCACGTCCAAAGCATCAGCATCAGCGTCATCGATTTTGAAGGAAAAGCACATAGTGGCGGGTCCACCAATACGTTGACACTCACGTTTTTCTATTTAAATAAATTATTTAAAAATTAAATTAGTCAAACCCGGATAAATTATTAAAGAGCTATCATTTATAACACTTGGTGTATATAACAATACACGCATGTATATAAGACAGTAATTACTATAAACTAATCAATATATTAATGAAAAGTTGGATGGAGTTTGAAGATATAATGACTTGCACTCTAATAATATTAAGAGATAAGTTTGAAGTTAGTAACACAATCACTGCTGATTTCATATTCAGACCTTACATGAGAACGTTTATAAGACGGAGGACCGATGATTATTATAAATTCTGGAACTTTTTTTAGTACATCCTTTTTATTCTAATAACAATCTAATATATATAATACATTAAGCTTAAAATATTATTAACATTAATATTTTTAACAATGATAAAAACGAGAACCATAGGTTAGTTCAACTATAACAGTCAAAATTATTAAATCAATAATTTTTAATTTAGCTAATCGTACCGGAATCATTGAAAAAAGGATTGTTGACAAGTAGGAACTATAAATGAGCTAAAGCAAAACAGATACGCACAGACTCAAAGCCATTTCATATATAATTAGTTTTTTAACAAACTTTAAAATAAATTTGATATTTTAAACTTAAATATTTCACATATTTGATTTTAATAATATTCTATAAAACTTGAACTTTAATATACGTCTTAATATATTTTACATTAAACTAAATATGATTACTTTCCTTTCCGTTTATATTTCTTATATGTATATTAAACTCAAAACATGAATATAAACCTAATGAGAATTATATTTTTTATGTAAATATTACAATATAACAAAGAAAATCATGATTTGAAGCAAATAATAGACGCTGAAATTTTAGAACAAATATAATATTTGATATTATTTTAAACTAAATTTGTGATATGGTTTGGTCTTATCTTTGTTGTACTTTAACATATTTCATCTAAATTAAAGTTTATCACATCTCCTAACAAAGTTTCGAAATAGATTAATATATAATAATACTTTCTATAAATCATACACGATAACGCAAGCATATGGGACTATTCGAAATATATGAATCACCATATTAGTTGGTTAAGCCAGGATTGACGATTTCATATATGTGTGATTTCTGGAATAGCGATGATATTATACTTTGTAAACTAAATACTACTACCGTATATTGTAGGTAAAATTATTTGGTAAAAATAAAGATGTTTTGTAATCCAATATAAGCTCATATGCCCTAATTTAGTGCTTCGAACCTTTATTGTCAGCAATTATTCATTGGAAGTTCAAAATTGTGCAAAAAAATCACAAATAATCTAAAGGAAAGGTATACCGTTTTAAAATGGCAGTGCAAGTCCATATTTATCGTTTGAGGTCCGACAAAAATAAAGAGTTCACGGCTGCGAGAGAGAGAGAAAGAAGCGTTGATATATATTCACTATATACTCTCAGTAAGCGATATTTAAATCATGTCGATATTCGCAAAACTCTCTTCCTTGCATAAAATTGATATCGAAAGAGACTTTTGAAGGACTTGAACTTAAAATTAGATAATCATTCAGGTTGTAATATGATTATAGCTAGAAAGCGGTAAAATATAATCAAAGTATTAATAATAGTGTTTTCAATTAATTATTTAATTCCTCAATGATAAGTTATACAAATATTGACGATTACAGAAGTGGTTCATAGTGAAGAAAGTTTTTTAACCAGTAAAGGACAATGCAAACTAAATTATATTTGGATAGACCAGTGATGATGGATGCTTTCCTATATCCATAACACCTTCATTATCAGTCGAAAAATTCACTTGATTTGAAATTGTTTTCGAAACTAAAATAAATTTTTTAAATTTTGATTAAAAAATGCCTAATACTTTTTAACCAACCTATTAACTCCATTTTTATTTATTTTTACTAAAATAACTTATGACTTTAATGATTTAATGATATTGAATTGGTATAGTATAATAAAATATTTTTGCTCACCTCTTTTAAGGAATATGAATTTCTTGCTGGTTCTGGCATAATAATCATCCAAATCTTTGTTCTTCGTTTCTTCATTTTCGTGTTCAATAGTTGTTTCTTCATACATGGGTTTTGGTAAACCAATTGCTGAAACATTTGGTCTTTCCTTTAACCGTAATTTATCAAGTATTTGCTCCTTTACAGATTCGATTCGTAAACGTGTTAGTTCTTCTTGCGTGATTAGTTCTACCTGACGATTACTTTCACATTTTGGGCATTGCATAGGCACTTTTGTAGGTTGATTAGTTTCATTTTTTTCATCATCTTTAGTATTTAGATTGCTTTGAGTAGCAGTCGCTATATTCTCAACAGACTCGATGCTTTTACTTTCAACATCCGGAAAACTAGGTATAACTATCGAATTGTCAATATTTATAGGTGTATCAACATTATCCATTTCTGCGGAATCTAATTTATTATTATCTAATAATAACGAAGAACGAAGAACTGCAGCAAGTGCGTCGCCATCACTATACATGCGATCTTCTTCAGAATTCGCAGAATCCTCATATGAATTAGCATTTAGTGGTTTGATAGTTTCATCCATCATGCGATATAAGTTACTTTCATCACGTTCCAGGGCTGCAGATTTACTAGCAGCCGCCAAATATTGTTCAATAATCATTTCATCACTTTGATCCATTAGTTCGCTATTATACGGTACTTCTGGTTCTGTTTTTGGTCTATGTGATTCATGTACGCTTTTTTCATGTTCAGTTGCTAGCAGTTGCTCGTGCTCCTTGTAGTGTTGCAACTGTTGCGCCTTGTGACGTTGTTGATGCAAATAGAGACGTATCGCTTGGACTGTCATGTCGTTTTCGTCATTCGTTATACTCTCTCGTTCCAAATTCCTATGCGATTCTGCCGGCGGTCTACTGTGCTCATTGTGATGATGTGCGTGGTGACTTTGTTGTTGTTGCTGTAGTTGTGACTGATGATGATGTACATTCGTTTTATGTGAAGGTTTGTGTTTGTGATGATTTGTGTGCATCTGTTGTTGGTCTTGTGCACGCATGTAGTCCACTTCGACACTGGGTAATGAACTGACATATATGCCTCTGTATACACTGTGGTTCTCAAGAGCCAATATAGCTAGGAGTATGAATGTAGCGAAGTATTTGGCCATTTTTGTATATTTTAATTTAATTTAAATTAAATTCAGTTAAATTTTCTTTTTTGTTTATATTAATTATAACTTATGATTACTGGTTTTAATTTAAGTATCTAGTTTAAACTATATATTATTTTGAGCGATAAATATGTATTATGTGGGTATGTATTGTATATGCTTTAGTTTACTTTGTGTACTATCTCTTGGGTAGCATTAAAAATCCCACTATTGTCCGTTGATTTTTCAAAATCATAGAATATGCAATTTTGCACAATTAAAAAAAGTTTAAAAAACAATACAAGTTTTTTTTTAATTTAATATAAGCCTTTAATGAATATCTTCACTTTGACTTAAAGCTTTAACACATCACTTTTTTCTGGATATCGAGCTCGAATTTGGAAAATTTAAAATAATACCGATTAGGTTGATTTTGTTGAGGCTGAAAGTGAAAAAAAAAACTCATTAGCTTATATATTTTTTTATTGATTATTCTAATCTATTTTAATATATAGTTTATTATTATTTTAAAAATAATTGTTCTTAACCTCAAAATTACGCTATTAAACTATGTATATAACATATCCTTACGAGCTACATAAGCCCCTTATGTACCGACTTATTGCTGAGACATTTAATACTGCACGCTCTTACTTAACTCATTACAAATCCAACTGTCCATATTAACTCACTAACTCTCAATTTACCGATCAATCTCTTAATATCGCAAAACTGACCAATCACATATTTTCATAACTCTCTCTGATTTCATGCAAACTCTATCTCTCATCTTACATATCATGGCATCACGCTGCGAATGAGTGATCAAATTTCCACACTTGTTATCTAAATTCAAAAAACAATATATTGTTTTCTACATAATACAATACACATATAGAAATACCATATATGTATATAATTATATTTTTATTTATTTTTTAATTTGTAATTTGAAAATCGAAAACAAAATGGCGTTTGTTTTTCAACATTAACCAATCACGTGATGGCTGCATATAAACGAGTATATACAATTCATTTATATTATGGATATAATATTCAATTAATAATTATATAAATGTACATATATATACATAAATAAGTGTATTAAAAAAAACTGAACTTAAAAAAAATTTTATCGTTTCATCTACATTTGTGAAATTAATGAAAATATGGCAATTAACTTTATGGTAGAGTTTATGATAATTTGGCTTTAATCACTTTTAATCAATTGATTAAGTATTAACACGGGTCTCCGAAAGATTATAGGAAAAAATCCTTATCACTCACTTTAACAACAGCAGTGACAGTTTTGAGATTTCAGCTATCACAAAAGTTCTTAATTAAAACCAATTAATTAATAACAGCGAAAATACTTTTCATTGCGTAGATTATTTTTGACCAATTTGCGATTTTAAGATTCGAAGATTAATAACACACTTGGTGGTTATTATATATATATAAATCAGTTTGTTAATGATATGACTCAATGTATGTGATATGGGACTTTTATACTAACATGTTCGGTCCATAAAATAAAATTTTACGATATGCATTTACCACGAATTTCCTGTTTTTGTGATTGATTTCTATTGGGATCGCTTGTCGTGCAGGTTAGCTACTATAAAAAGTATCTAATCAACAAAATAATGGGCTTGATAGACAGATATATGATTATGTGTGTAGAATAAGTCGATTAACAGTTACGTGAAGATGTAGAATAATGTAAAGCAGTTACTGAAGTCAAAGTTTTACTTTTTTAGATACATCCCCATCAAAGTATAATAAACTTATGGAAATGATAATCTGCTTTGGATTATGTATAGCAGTTTTTGTAGAAAAAAAATTACTTCAAAGCTGATTTTGCGGGAATTTTCTTATTATTTCACAAAACTTTGAGAAATATTTCTCTAATATATATAAAGGTTTTACTTCTGCGGGATTTTCTTCAGCAAATTGTACTAAAATTTGAGAAGTGATTCCCAGTTTTTAGTTATATAGCAAAGTTATTGAAGAGAAAGAAATTATATATAGGTTTCGTTTTGTAGAGTGTAGTTTGGATTAAGAAAAGCAGTTCTTGAAAACTGCTTCAAGAAAAATTTTTTTTGAATGGTACAATATAGGGAGATGTTTTTTTTTATCAAAAAATATAAATATACAATATTATTTTAGCGGAGTAGTGTTTTTTTGTTGTTATTGTGAATGAATATGACAATATTCTCAAGCTCATACCTTTCAGAGGTTACGGCTTATGCAATAGATATATCTTCCAGAGTTAAGCGCAATAACAATTGTATTTCTCTCATTTTCTTGCATTTTGTGTTAATAGACATAAACATTAAGCAAAATGATAAATTAACACAATTCTAGCCTATTAATAGCAAAAGTTCCAGAGATGGCAATACTTAAGAGAAAGTCAAGTAATGTAGTTAATAATCCGTTTTTGTTAGTTTACACTTTTGAATTATAATGATGTCCAAGGCAGATAAATTTGCAGCTGGTGAGGCTTTGATATTTATAGAGAATCTGTTCGGACATTTATATTTTCATTTTACAGACATGGTAAATATGGGGCAAGTAACGTAGTAATATTCCGTTTTTGTTAGTTGACGCCTTTTAATTATAATGATTTAATCAAGGAGTCTATGTCCAAGGCAGATAAGTCAGCAGCTGGTGAGTCTTTGACATTTATAGAGAATCTATTCGGACGGGTCTATTTCTGTTTTATAGACACAGTAAATATGGGACTACGAGGGGTTCATTCTGTTAAGTTGTTACCTAAGCGTATGTTGTCCTACTAGAAATCCGATGAGAAATGTCCAAGGCAAATAAGTCAGCAGCTGGTGAGTCTTTGACATTAACAGAGAATCTGTTCGGACGTTTCTATTTCTGTTTTATAGACACAGTAAATATGGGACTACGAGGGGTTCATTCTGTTAAGTTGTTAACTAAGCGTATATTGTCCTACTAGAAATCCGATGAGAAATTACATAGCTGTCCTGTTCAATACGAAGAGTCTATTTTTGACTGATTGAATGAATGATCACACATTTTTTTGTCTGTTTAAGATTCCTTCTAATACCTCAGAATTCACATAATATGCTTCTTCATCAGAGTACAGACGGTTCAAGCCCAATGAAATAATGTTGGGTTTAACTATTAGCGAGGCAATCAGCGTTTTTGTTGTCTTTCTATAGTTCTGTCTGGATTTTTTTTTATATAAATTTTTTTTATATTTTTTTTTTATATAAAGTAATAATTAAAGTAAAATGTATCAAAATCTTTTTTAAAATATATAAATAAAAAAAAAAAAAGTCAAGTACGGCTTTGGATCAGTTGGTTAAGGGGCGCTGATTCTGAGCTTCACATTTGGCAGGACCCGAGTTCGATTCCTGGTACTTGCAGTCTCAAAAATAATTATTTACGAATAATTAATACAAGAATTATTTCCAAGACCACTGATGAAGGGTATTTGGCAATACTCGAAACAGCTGTATGGTCAGCCAAAAATTCAATTAATTAAAAATAATTTAAAAAATAAATTTTTGTTGTTGTTTCACTTCTGTTCGAAAACCTCTTTATATAAATTATTTTAAAAAATATATAATTTTTTAAAAATAATTATTTCACTGGCTAATTGGTCAGTTATTAAATAATAATCTTTTTTAAAAAAAATTTATTATTTAGTTTTATAAGACTTTTATTTTCCAATATTTCGACTATAATCTATAGTCATCATCGGGGGATAGTTCCCCAAAATTTTTTTGGTCATTAAAACATTTAATTATTAAAAATATATAATGTATTTATATAATATATTAATTAATATTAAAATGTTTAATACTCTCTGTTTATATAATTTTTTTTTTTTAAGATAAAAGTGTTAATAGGCATATTTTCTAATAAATGCAATATTATTATTATAGTATTCGTAAGAATATGTAACATTGAAAAGAGAAATTTTCGTTTATATTGCATCAGCTTTTCTAATCATTGCATCATCATACATATTGTAGATAAAAATTATAAATATTTTTTTTAGATACTTCTTAATTATCTAATTTTACAACCTATTCTTTTCATATAAAAATTTTAAAAAAATTATCATAATTGAAAATATTGTAATTCCTTAAAATGTGGAATCCAATTTCTTTTTTTATTTTACAATTGACTACGAAATACCAAAAGATACATTATTATGGTTAAACATACAAATTTTTAGATAAGACCATCTTGCTTTTTCTAGAACAATCAAAAAGAACACGTATCGGTTGGAAATTCCAGCTCAAAAAGTTTAGAGAAAAAGATGATGTAATATTAGTAAAATGAAAATCATAACTTATACATATATGTATATTAAAAAAAAAATAATTAAAATATTAATTGTGTAACACTAAAAACTAAATCATGGCCATAAAATTAAAAAATTATTTACATTGCAATAATTAGAATAATAAATTATTTTTATTGCTATTCAACTACAGAATTTTTTACGTCAATAGTTAGAAAATATATGAACAAATTTAAAAGGATGTATCCTGTATATGTTGATATAAGTCATTAAATAGAGATAACCGACTGTGACCACATATAGATTTGGTAGAATCACAGCGAAACTAAATTAGAGTTCTTACTAAGAATGTGTGTGCCTTTACCCAATGTCCATTAAAACCGGCAACTGTAAAGAATTTTTGGTCTAGTGTTTGAGGAAGCCAGATAATAATAAATAGTGTCTATATAGTTTTATATCTTTAAAAAATTTAGATTCCAGAGATGTTTTCACTCGATTGTGACTTTAATGTTTGTCTTGATCTTGGTAAAATTGTAATTTATAGAGTATAATTTTAAAATTATGCTTATTTACTTTATTATAGCCTTTACCACGAGGAACTGGTATTATTAAAATCTCTATTAATAATCAGCTAATCTGTCATCTGTCAAATAAAAAAATTGTTGCAATGTTTTGCTCAGCGTCAAGAGAACAGAAAAGCCTCAAGTGGGGAAAAACTTTCCAATTACCTATTTAAGCTATAAAGCAATGCGATAGGGTTATTTTTATATATATGTATGCTTTGGCATA